AACCTGTTACACACTCAGTTAGTGTAGTGTAGTGCAGTGTAGACCGTTGTGTAACCTGTTACACACTCAGTTAGTATAGTGTAGTGTAGTGCAGTGTAGACCGTTGTGTAACCTGTTACACACTCAGTTAGTGTAGTGTAGTGCAGTGTAGACCGTTCTGTAACCTGTGACACACTCAGTTAGTGTAGTGTAGTGTAGTGCAGTGCAGTGTAGACCATGGTGTAACCTGTTACACACTCAGTTAGTGTAGTGTAGTGAAGTGTAGTGCATTGCAGACCGAGGTGTAACCTGTTACATACTCAGTTGGTATAGTGTAGTGAAGTGGAGTGTAGACCGTGGTGTAACCTGTTACACACTCAGTTAGTGTAGTGTAGTATAGTGTAGTGTAGTGCAGTGTAGACCGTGGTGTAACCTGTTACACACTCAGTTAGTATAGTGTAGTATAGTGTAGTGTAGTGCAGTGTAGACCGTGGTGTAACCTGTTACACACTCAGTTAGTATAGTGTAGTATAGTGTAGTGTAGTGCAGTGTAGACCGTGGTGTAACCTTTTACACACTCAGTTAGTATAGTGTAGTATAGTGTAGTGTAGTGTAGTGTAGACCGTGGTGTAACGTGTTATATACGCAGTTAGTGTAGTTTAGTGTAGTGTAGTGTAGAAAGTGGTGTAACCTGTTACACACTCAGTGTAGTGGAGTGTAGTGCAGTGTAGACCGTGGTGTAACCTGTTACACACTCAGTTAGTATAGTGTAGTGTAGTGCAGTGTAGACCGTGGTGTAACCTGTTACACACTCAGTTAGTCTAGTGTAGTATCGTGTAGTGTAGACCATGGTGTAACCTGTTACACACTCAGTTAGTGTAGTGTAGTGTTGTGTAGTGCATTGTAGACCGTGGTGTAACCTGTTACACACTGAGTTAGTGTAGTGTAGTGTAGTGCAGTGTAGACCGTTGTGTAACCTGTTACACACTCAATTAGTGTAGTGTAGTGTAGTGTAGTGTAGTGTAGTGTAGTGTAGTGTAGTGTAGTGTAGTGCAATGTAGGCCGTAGTGTAACCTGTTACATACGCAGTGGTAACTAGACGAATCTCTCGTTAGGAAGATGGATAACTATAACGTGTATTTTTATCAACATACCTCAATGGCAAATTGACACGGAGCTCTTACTTTTCTTTCATATAAACAGCGAATATCAAACAATAGTTATCATTGTTAATAATTCTAAGAATATTACCTCTATTACAGTTTTGCCATAAATCCTGTATTTTGGCTTCAGTCACACCAACTAATGTTTTCAGATTTTCAGCAGACGTCCTCTTCACTGTCAATCACACACAATTAGTTGTTCCCAAATAGCATCGTAACCACCCAAGCTATGACGTATGCAATAGCGGGAACCTCACTTTTTCCCCACATCTAACTACCACTGGTGCTAGAGGTAGATGAATTGGGGAGGTGGGTGGAAGTACTTCTGATGTAATAGAGGTAGTTTTCTTTGAATTATTAACAATGATAACTATTGATCGATAATTTTTACGAAATCTCTACCTCTATTACATCTTTGCCAGAATATATCAGAGGGACCCGTTGGGACCTGCCTTTAGTAACTCCCTGTGTAATTGACAGTTATCCTCTCCTGGAAACCATTATTCACTGATGCTAATCCTGACTCGAGATAATTTCCTCTGAAATTCCCCCTGAGGACATGAAAATCAGACATGTATAAAGAATCAGTCAAATATGTGATACCTTCACTAGAATTACCGTTATATTTGCTGATCTTGTTTGTAATATTGATGTCATTTCTGGTCTATTCCTACTCAATGATGTCATTTCTTGTTAAATTTGGATGTGCCACTAATACCATTGCGGACGTCAATTCCGGTGCTGACGTCACTTTTATTGAGTAATGACGTCTCTCAAGCCCTTTTATTGGGTAATGACGTCTCTCAAGGTCTATTTCTACCAAAGACGTCATTTCCTCATTAGATGGACCTTGCACTTCCATTTCCAGTGCTGACGTCACTTCCGGTTATTGTCCCACTTCTCGTGATGTCGTCACTTTTTATGAGCTGAGCCGGATCCAAACGTGGTGTGGAATTCTGAGCCTGTGTATAACTTGCTGCGACGGTAGCGTGTGGCCTTGGTTATGTCCTTGTTGGAATGAGTCTTGCAGGATATAAAGAGTCTCCTTCGATGGCGTCTATATGGGTCTGTAGCCCAGAGGTAGAACTTGGGAGCTCTGAAGGGACATAAAGTCTGGGTGATCCACTGTTGGTTCCAAAGCAGGAATGGTATAGGGTCTATGGCCCAACGAACCCATCGTGGTAGATTGATTCTTGGCTACAAACTCTGGGATTGATCTTAGAGTTATTGAGGTCCAATGTTGATCATTGGTGAGACTAGAAAAGTCCATAGCATGGAATTCTGAAACACTTGCTGCTGTCGCCATGGCAAGGAGGAAGGAAGCATTCCTGGATTTTTTTAGTAAGGTAGCCTAAGCCAGGGGCTCGTAAGGTTCCATGTCGGAATTTATTGTCCTGACGTAGATGTAGTAGAAAATCCGCTACCATTGGGATAGACATAGCATTAGTTATAATCCCTTGTCGTCTTCTCCACTGTACCATCAGTTGTTATTTATAAGGGATGATGAAGGTCTCCATTATCATGCCACAGCTTCTGAGGCAAGCTCAGAGTATCCGGATGTCTGCATTTGCTGCGTGATAATTTCCAAGCAGTTAGATGTAGTTAATTTGTTTATAGATGTCATGGAAAATGCTGGACTTGGGTTGTCGTAACAGATCTCGATTGAGAGGTAACTGGATAGGTTCTTCAAATAGTAGTCTTAGTAATCTGGATAACCACGCTCTGCTAGGCCATATTGGTGCTATCAGGATTATTATGCGATCCGTTTCCTCCACCTTGTGGATGACGTTGTCTAGGAGAGACCATGGTGGGAATGCTTATGCAAATAGACCCGTCCAGTCCATCGACAGTGCGTCAATCTGGTGAGCTCTTGGATCGGGAACTGGACTGACATAAGTTGATGGTTCTGGCAGGTGGCAAGTATATCTAGGTGTGGTGTGTCCCATAGCGTGGTTATCTAAGCAAAGATCTGGGGATGTAAACCCTATTCTGTTGCTACTATTTGCCCCTGGCAGAAAGGCTGTCAGCAGGGATGTTCAGTTTCCAGGTAGGAAGCCGAAGAAGGTCATTAGTTGGACCAAGAATATCATGTTCTGGTGTAACTGAGCTTCCTTTTGGTCTGGAGCCAGGAAATCGTCCAGGTATCCATGGATTCAAACCAGGTAGAGGTGGGCAAACCTGATGACTGGCTCTGTAATCATGGTCAATAGGCAAGGGGCTATTGATATCCTGAATGACAAGACCTGGAACTCGTTACGTTGACCATTGATCACGAAGCATAGATATTTGCATGACGATTGGTGTATCGTGACGTGAAGACAGGCATCTTTTAAATCGAGGCTGATAAACCAGTCTCCTGTCTCCTGGATTCCATCTGGAGTTTTTTGCGGGGGTACGAGGAATTTCTTGTTGAGGATCTTTAGGTCAATTAGAGCTTCCTGACGGCCAGATGTGCTGCCACTAGCTTGGCTCCGACTGGATGAAATCTGAGTCCGACAGCTTGAGTCTTCAAGATAGGATGTTTCTTGAAGTGCAGTTTGTTTCTGTGAGCCGTACGGCTTATCAGTTGGCTGAACAGCTGGCAGTCTGGCTGTCAGGATGGATGGTTGATCGGTACGGTCGGCTGGGGTAGGCCCTTCACCCGTGGGTGCTGTAGAGACAGATGGCACTTGACCGGGGGACTTTTCTCAGCCAGAGGTATATGATTAGTCTCCATATTCCCAATTTCTTCGTTTAGGGCTGAGAATCGAGCCTCAATCATGGTCTTCATCATCTGCTGTTGGCTGAAAAGTTGTTGAATCAGACTCATGGAGAGTGCAGGAGTTGATTGTTCAGCTGGAATGGGAGGAGCTGGGGTGGAAGCAGGTGTCTGAACAGTGTCGGCTGTGATGACTTCCACCTTCTTCTTGGCCGCTTCATGCCTCTTAGCCTTAGAAATAGCCTCAGCTAACTTAAGGACGGCTTTCTTAGGTGTATTGGCGCACTGTTCACATCGGTTCTCAGCACTTCATGCAGTTAACATGAGAATCTCCCGTGATCATGAATCAACCACACTTCTTGCAACCGGGAGTAGAGGAGACTTCATTACGACCCCACAATCACACCAGTTAATACTCACGTGCGTGACCCCGCTGGTCAACCAAAATTTATGTTTCACCATGATTCCATGGAAACGGCAAAATTAAAAAAATCAGAATCTTCAAACTAGCAAAAGGCACAAGTACTCATTGTGGTTAATGTGTGTAGAAAGCTTGGTGAAGCTAGGGTGCATGGTTAAAATGGGCCGTACAAAAGCTCGGACGGAAGGACGGACGGACGGACGGAGGGACGGACAGACTGAACGCTATAATAATCTTAGATTAATGTGACTCACAACCAAGTGCTAGATTGTTACACTATTACAATAGGTGTTGACTCAAGCACACACAGTTAAAAAGTGAGGTTCCCGCCACTGCATACGTCATAGATTGGATGGTTACGATGACATTTGTGTGTGATCGACAGTGAAGAGGACGTCTGTTGAAAATCTGAAAACTTTAGTTAGTGTGACCGAAGCCAAAAGGATTTATGGCAAAGATGTATTAGAAGTATAGATTTCGTAAGAATTATAACTGCTTTCCTGTTCTGTCATTCGCTTAACTTTGCTCGACACAACGACTTCAGTTTGATTCAATAACGTTTGCAAAGTTCCTGGCAAACCATACACGAAGATGACGTCATAGTGCATAACATATAAACGAAGCGTTGACTTCTAATAGGTCAGCTAATTACCTGATGCTTAAATAACGTCTAATGTCTACAGTTTAAGTGATGACTATAAGCATGAACGATCTTTTCATGAGCATTCTATGTACTTACCTATTGTAGTCTGGAAATAACCAATGAGGATCTTGTCTTCAACTAGAAACTAGTGAAACGAGAACAATATTAGTTGCATACAGTCATGAATACATAGTTGTATGTTGTTTTGTTTTATCTTGTTTCTTACCAGATATATATTGTTCGTGTTTGCCCCTGTCTCATATTCTCACCTCTTTTATGCTGTCCAGAACATCTTCCTGTCCATGTATTCTCTGTTTAAACTCCATGAGTTGAGGTTTCATCCTAATCGCCAGGAGGTCCCGACCGCCACACACTGTAACAGAAGTCACCCGTTTACTTGTGAGAACAGTATTCCAAAGGATGAATGAAGGATATTTCTTATGGTAAGCAAGCTTAAAGAACAACGCAGCCAGGCACAGCATATACTTCTTACACCTTGGTACCTCACCATGAAGGACACACTAGTTCATATAGCTTCACTATGTGTTTTAACCTCCTCATTATCACCTGGTGAAAGGTCGTCAACTGGAGGGTGTCGAAGTGCCTTTTTCTTTCGATCAAGTTCCTACAATATTGACAAAAAAAAATAAATGAATACAACAACAAAACTGATAGTGACGCAAAGCCTTCTCACCATTGCACTTCAGAATCACATGGCCAAATTCACACGTGTATAATAGACTTATTCTCATCGAATGTCAAAGTGTACTTATTACTTTCAACAGATGTTTATTTCAATGTCAGTGAAATGATTGACTATTCCAATGAACGCGATGAAGGTGTTTTGGGACAAAGCTATCTTTAAACAACAAACTAGCTAACAAGGCATAATCGAGCGAACACTGGCGACATAACGACAGCTATAAATGTTCTGAAACATATGCAGCTTATATGGCAATGCGTCGATACTGATTTACTTGTACCGGCCCCGAATACCACATGGTATTTGACCATCACATGCCGGATGCTTGCTGAGCAACAACGGGATATTGTCGTCACTATAGATAGTTCATTGATTCGGTGATGGCCAAAAGCCAGATGTCTGCAACTGGGCCATTATTGATACAGGACTAATAATAGCTTCTTTACCGTGTCTGTATTTAGCCAGTACAGAGAGGTAATATAGTTTTAGTGTATTTTTTTTAGAATCTTGACTGAGGATGTTGTTTGTTTGAGAAATATAAAACACATGTCAAGCCAAACCTGTTTGATAATAATTAAAAATGACTACTTGATTATGTTGGTATAATATGTCCTCCACGAATACGATTCTTACAGATCAACTAAAGATCTTTGCCTGAAGTTTACCTTGCGTTTTTAAAATCCCAAAACCCAGGCTAATATCCAAAAAGGAAAGTTATAGGTTTTGTTAATAAATAGAAATCTGTTATCACTGGTAATAAACATTTTTTTGAAGTTCGAGTGACAGAAATGGCTCTAAAAGGCCCAGCAGGACTGAGCAGTGAATATTCTAAAATAAGAAAATCTGTGAATTTGAAATTTTCTTGCTGTCATCAACTGTCGATGTTTGAGCAAACGGAATACCATCTTTACAATCATGTATTCTATTTTGACAAAGTTTGGTTTAAGTTTATGTTAGCGTATGTGGGACCGTAGGCTTAACGATATCAGGTGAGGTGAGGTGAGGTGAGGGGATCACACCCTGGACCTTCCGCTCTCTGGGCGGACGCTCTACCACTGGACCACGGGGGCGGTCTAACGATATCAGGCCTGAAAAGAACCAGTATTGTACCAGTACCCACTGAAGCCAGTGTGAAAAACAGTACTGAGCCAGGGATGGAGTGGATACTCACTGTTGTAATTGGGCAAGTAAAGGTCCAGTTATGCAGTGTCAATGGGATATGTTTTGAATGGCTTTACGTGAATGTCACAGTTGCTGATGAATACAGCCTTCACCCTTGAGAACTCAATAAATTAAATACATATTATACAACTATTCATCATCACTCACAGTCATGAAGCGCTTTATTTTCACGGAAAACAGCCGCAACACATCCATTTCTTCAAAAAGGAAGTTTATTTGGCTTTGACATTCATCTGGAAAGAAATGAAAGGTGTAGACACACAGTACATCCCATGAAGCCAAATCATACCACAACACAATACCAATCTGTTTACCAAGGAATTTAGACCCGTGAAAATCCGGGTTAGAATAGGTCTTCAGCAACCCATGCTTGCTGTAAAAGGCGACTATGCTTGTCGTAAGAGGCGACTAACGGGATCGGGTGGTCAGGCTCGCTGACTTGGTTGATCCATGTCACAGTATCCCAATTGTTTGGATCTATGCTCATGATGTCAATCACTGGATTGTCTGGTCCAGACTCGATTTTTTACAGACCACCGTCATATAGCTGGAATATTGCTGAGTGCGGCGTTGAACAACATAGAAACAAACAAACCAAGGATTTTAACATCATCCCACCGGCTGCATGTTTTGCCCTATCACGATCAAAGCAGCAAAACCCCACACCCTTGTCAATGGAGACACTATTATTGCATTTTGAGAACTGTGATACTGTGATACATGTCATACCAAACCTGATACACGTGTTACTTCCATCTCATCCGTCAACATTTATGGATGTTATAGATACCCTTACATGTTGGAAAATATAACAAAAGGTACTGAATAATTTAAAGTATGCATTCATGTAAAAGTATATTAAGCTTGAAGGTACGGTACGTTTGAGGAACGTGTGGAATATGTTCTAAGGATTTTCGAATTAATTTGATATCTGATCCATACGATATTATTAACATGAAACCTTTATTTCAATCTTATGTTTCATGAACTCACCACTCTCTAATGCATCTACCTGTCCTTTCACGGTGTCCACATCCTGAAAAATACAATTATTCCATTATTCATCTCGTTAAATACACCCTTATACCCTAGACACACACATACAATCTGATGTAGATAACTAACCACGTGTAAGACAGTCATCAACGAAGTCATGATGATTTTTGTCGTCCATGTAAACCAAAGCCTCGCGGTAATGTCTTAAAATCTATAATCGTTACATGTTGCAAGATTCATATCGATGTGAGACCACCAGAGACCATATTGAAAGCATCTATGTATACTTACTTTCATGGCTGTAGTACGCATCTTCAGGTTTGCCAATTCCTCTTGAACTACAATGGAGAAAGATTGTTAGTAAATGTGACAGAAAGCAAATACTCGGAAGTGTTTTTAAACAATCTAAAGTGGTCTGGGTTAGATATAAATGTATGTTTTCCTGTTCTACCTCACAAAGTGTCCAGATTCCAGATGACAAAAAAATCCATAGACATTGAAGGCAACGACCGCGGTGAGTATCTTTGAAGGTGATGCACAGTTTACGAACCTACCTCGTATATGGCCCCTTCCATGTATCAAAGTAACGAATGTTTTGATGTTTTATAGGTACATATTACATTTCTATCTCTGTGAGTCTTTCATAAATGCAAGAGTGGTAGTATGTCTTTTGTCTATTATTGTATCCCTGTAACAGTATCTAAAAATGGAGACACTGGGAAATGAATGAAACATGAAAACTATTTGAGCCCCACCCAACTTAACAGCCAGATTAACCGTGGACTGTCATTTTTAAACTGACGGTGTTCCTCTTTATTTTATGAATAATCCGATTCGAATGATTCAAATTTGTGCGCAACCGTGGGTATGTGTATGTGCTCTTAGTTTGAGAAGGATAAACGAACTTGAAATTAAATGATGATGACAGCAATCATACCTAAAATGGTAGTTTTTAAATATGTACGAAGTTACAGACATGTCAGATATACTCACTGTTTGTAAATCCCCAGCGTGAACATACTGGGTAGTTTCTTGTCACGTTGGTTTCATCCACGATGACTGTATATGATGACATGTCCAGCGTACCGAGTTCATCGGCTGATACAGCTGGCCGATACACTTTCCTGAAGAAGTGATTTAATAATTCTAGTGCAACCATGGTATTATTAAGTGAAGGGTAAACAGCTTTGTTTGTCAGAATTTGTTACCTTTTCTATCCATTTCATTTGTCAATTTAAATTGGTATATGTTTCCCCTTTAGCGGTGCTCATTCGAATTGTATATATACCTAAGTCTATCCCTCTCTTTCCGGGATTTACAGACCAGTAGTGTGTCTCCCAGCCTGCTCAGTCTCCTGGCCACCTCCAGCATCAGCGTCGTGGCTCCAGTACCTGGTCCACACATCACCTGAACATCTCTACTGTTGATGTTCTCAACTAATATAATACATTGTTCTCTTGTAAGAAATCTCAGACTGTCATCATCTATTTCCCCGCGCTCTGTCATCACAGACTTTGTCTGGGCAACACCTGCCCAGAAAGCGTTCAGGACTTTGCCATACCTGGTAGGATTCATAACCAGTGAGTCCTGTGTGACAAAGTGTGATGACTTTGTTACAAGTCTGTCCATGTGAGCTTTAAAGGACACAATGTTGTTTAATGTCGAGACAGGTAGCACTCCATGTACTGGGTGTACACATTCGTCCATGAATCTACTGAGTGTTACTGTCACTCCTCTAGCCACAGACATGTTATACTCCAATACTTCCTTTGAGAAGGAGTCCCCGTCAACCAGGGTGAGGACCAGGACAGAATGTCCAGGTAGAGCGATGAACGCATCACATATGACATGACCTGCCAGGGCCGATGTAGGGATATCCAAGACGGGAGCCAATGATTGAGATATGAACACAACACCTCCTTGTGCATCATTTTGATTGGTACGTTTGTTAACTGCATCGTTGTATAGAAAATCAAAAGCATGGTTGTCCAAAAGTTCTAAAAGTCTTTCCTTTACTTCTTTCAGGGGTGTTTCAATGTTGCTTGGTAATATGTTCACTCCTTCTGAAACCATACAGTCACGTTGCAGTTGTAGTTATTGATACAGATGCAGACGGAATCATACAATGTACTCTGCTTTTAGCATATACATCAGATGATAGAAGAAACCGTTTTGTCGCTTTTAATTATTTTGATGATTTTGTGAGAATAGTTGCTACCTTAAAATGAAATTCATTTTGTTCCTCATATGCTAACATGTACATGAAGACACATATAGCCGACACAAGAGTGCCTGTAACATGATATAGATTTCCTAATTGAATTAACTCGCACATTTACTATGTAATCAGCATGTATTCCATGTACAATGTACTAATTTCATTTTATTGAGGGAATCTTAATGGGATGCTTTATGTATGCATTTCACGAACATATGTAGATCGTGGTATTACATGAACATCAAGTGAAACATTAAATATAGAAATGTTATTTATCATCACTTTATCAAATGCTGTGAAATACTAATATTACCTGAATTTGGATATTCATGATATTAGTATTTGTATCCTGACACAACACGTTGCAATTTATTTCTTCACTTCAATCATATAACACAGAATCCAAAATGTGCCGCTTCTACACTTTGCTCGACAACATGGCTGTTATTACTGACACGGTGCTGGACCTTGGAGTTGCTAGGACTTGGTTGATGGCTGCAGCTTACGCCGCTACAGTGCCACCATGTTCGTAGAAATGTCAAGTGGTGTGTCATAAAATAAGGCATGCCTACATGGGACCCGACCTCTCTTGTCTTGCAGTAGTCAGTGAAAGAATTTCCTTTGGTGACATGGGACATTCAAGTGGAATTCCTCTGTGCCAAACACTGGAAGCTGATGGTTTTATCATGCAGCGCCCAGATCGATGTGCATGTCCAGGTGTTGACATATCAACCGAAGCAGTTGATTTTCTGTTGGAGTGGACTGGTGTCGCCTTGATCGGACGTCAGCGACGACATTTGAAATGCCTGGTATGTGGCGAGCCCTGGCCTCCAATGGTGGGCTGTCTATCAACCTGTAGACCTGGAATGTACTGCCAAATGTGCGCTGACGTCAAGAGTCCAAGCAGACACTCACTGACAATGATGAACCGATATGTCCTGACTGAGAACCTGCAGAATGATTGTGTCTCGGTCGTCTGACAACTGGCACCATTAGGAGGCCCTTGCTGGTGTTCAACAGATCTCCTATGAGCTAAAATGACTGAAATGAAACCAGGTCTCACATTCTCCTTTCATCTGTCAATCTTGTGTGTACATGCAGTATAAGGTCCTTAGGAACTCATTCCTAATGAGTTATATATTCAGTAACGGGTATCGTATACCTCGCTAAATGATGACCACGCCACGATTGGAGAGACGTACAGTTGTTATCTCTCTTGCACGGAAGTGAAGGATCTGTATTGAAAGAAATTGAAAGGATTGAAAGAAAGATGGCGGATAGTGAGTAGCCGGGTGAAAAACGCTCCTGAATAATTTTTGTTATCAGAACCTTGTATCCCTGCGATTGCTCCAAAAAACACAGTATAAGTATCGCAAATACACCCAGAAGACTCGACTGTGTTTATCGAACCCCGATCTGCCCGAAATATTTGGATTTCGTCGATGTTTACTGACTACACCCACTGCACAGCTCTCACAACAGACAATGGCGTTGGCGACCCACAGTGACTACAACCCGAGTGACAGATATCGCGACTATCAGCCTGATCTACAATATCTACAGCAACACCACCGACAGATACAGCAACAACTTCACTCAGAACAAGCAATACAGGTATCGTCACAAAACTCTGCCTCGTTACCCCTACTTGAAGGCAATCATCCCCCGGCCTGGGCCAGTCACCTGATCTCAGAAATAAAAAACCTCTCACAGATTACGCATGGGATTGCATCTAGAACCTCGGATATTGAAGCTAAAGTGTCTGTCATAGATAAAAGATCCGAGCAGATTGATAAGATTCAAGAAAGAGTTAAAAACATAGATATTAACATACTTACCCTCAACCAATCTGTACAACATACTGTGCATAGAGTGTCAAATATTGAAACAGCCCTGACCCAACTTTCCATGAAAGTAGATAAGACTAAATCTACAGGAGAAGAGAATGCCTCTGTCGACAGACTAGAGGGTAAACTAGATGAATGCCATGATGAGCTAGACTATCTACATGGTAGACTACATCAGGTCAGTGATCAGAATTATGAGCTGAAGGAACAGTTACTTACAGTTCAGTGTAAAAGTCTGGAAAATAATCTTATTTTCACTGGGATTGATGAGACAGAGGAGGAGAATGTAGAAGTGAAAGCACAAAATGTGATAGAAAACAATTTGAAAATAGCAAAGTCCATTGAATTGGAAAAAGTACACAGGTTGGGGAAGAAGAGGAGTGATCAAATTAAACCTAGACCTATTCTAGTTGCCTTCACATCCAAGAGGGACAGGGACATTGTTAAAAGTCAAGGTCACAAACTTAAGGGCCCATCAGTGGGGATAAATGAGCATTTCCCTTATGAAATACAACAAAGGAGAAAACAGCTGTGGCACAGATATAAACAAGCTAAGAGTAATGGCCACAAAACTTCATTTATCAGAGATAGACTGTACATTGATGGGAAGAGAATCTACCCTGACTCAACCCCTGACATAGACCCTAATGTGGACTTCCCCGCCCTGCCCTCTGACAGAGAGCCCCCCTCATCTCTCACCCCTACCCACAACAGACCAGAAAAGAAAGCCAGGTACAATTCAGACAGACAAACCTCTGACTAGGGAAGTCAAGGAAGTTGTTCAAACATGAATACCCTAACATTCTTCTTCATTAATGTTTGTGGACTCTTAAGCAAACTCATAAATCCTGATTTTCATACCTATATCAACAACTATGACTTTATCTTACTTGCAGAGACTAAACTGGATGATGTTGATACTATCGATTATACCTGGCTATGATGTGTATGTTAGAAACAGAGACTCTAGAGTCAGATCAGGAGGTATTGCAATTTTAGCTTAGAAATTCTTGAATAAATATATCAAATGTATACACACTAATACAGAGTGTGTCCTGTGGATAAAAATTTCCAAAGATATACTTCAAACAGATAAAGACTTGCTTATTGGAGCAGTATATATTCCCCCAGAAAATTCCCCATATTTCAATATCTCCTTATTTGTTGACATTGATAGTGATTTAAATAAATATGCAAATGACTGTGAAATTGTACTGCTAGGAGACTTCAATGCAAGAACAAGAACTATATTAGATTTTATTGAAATGTCACAGACGGTTTGTGATTACATTGGAATTCCTGATGATGTTTTTGATGAAACTGGTGTACTATCTTTGTTCTCTTCACTTGGAATAGACATCAATAGACACTCATCAGATGTGGGTAGAGCAAACAACCATGGCTACAGATTGATTGATATTTGTAGAAATAATAATCTGTTTATCATAAATGGTCGTTTTGGTGATGACAAACATATTGGTAAAGCAACTTGTAAAGGTTGTAGCTTAGTTGATTATAGTATTTGTTCTTTGAATTTACTGAAAAGAATATGTGATTTTAGTGTCCTAGATTTTGACCCTATTCTGTCTGATGCCCATTGTGCTTTGACATTGTGTATCAACATGTGTGACGTCAACATGAACTGTCAATCAAGGACAGAAGCTGACAGCAGCACGGACTCCGCGTGCACCTACCGACGCTGGGACAAACGACATGCTTCTCAATTTCATGATGTAATTAATTCTCGCCAGGGTGAAATCGATAACATTGTTTCCGACATTGATAACTGTGCAACCGGGGACCAAGAAGCTCTAAACAATCTAGTAAACAATATTAACAATGTATTTATTGAAAGTGCCAAATCTGTGATCGGTTTTAGACAACCTACCAGTGCTATGTTTGATTATAAAAGGCGACAGAAAAAGTCTTGGTTTGGTCGTGATTGTAAGATCAGTAGAGGTAAATATCATCAGGCTAAATCAATATTTCAAAAAACAAAAAAGTGTCCAAAACAAAAGAAGGCTAATCAATGCAAGCAAGGCTTACAAAAACACTTTGGCAAAATATCATAACCTTCATAGATCTGACATACAGGACAAATTATTTAAATTACGTAAAGAGGACTCTAAATCATTTTGGAAACTGTTGCGGAATGATAATAAAGATAAAGATTTACAACCACTCGAGGAAGTTTTTACATATTTTCAGAAATTAAAGGATGCACCTGATGAAGAGTCTGATGATCTCACTGATCAATTTGATATAAAAATTGAAGATTGTAACTCTGTTTTGAATGGTGCCATTTCACGTGATGAAATTTTGATTGCCATAGCAAATTTGAAACATAATAAAGCATGTGTCCCTGATAAAATTATTAATGAATATATTAAAACCACTCAAGTCATTATGCTACCTGTATATGTAAGGTTATTTAACAAAATTTTAGATGATGGTGTTTATCCAGAGCAGTGGCTCAGTGGTATAATTCGTCCTATTTATAAAGGTAAAGGTGACAAATATGATCCAGAAAATTATAGACCAATCAGTCTTTTAAGTTGTTTTGGCAAACTCTTTACAAGCATTATTAGAATTAGAATCCAAAATTTTATAGAAGACCAAAATATTTTATCTGAAGCGCAGACTGGTTTCCGTAAAAAATATTCTACAACTGATCACTTATTCACCCTTAAATGCCTTGTAGATTTATTTAAATCAAGAAAAAAAGAAATTATTTTGTTGTTTTATTGATTTTAAAAAGGCTTTCGATAATGTAAGAAGGACTGCTTTGTGGAGTAAACTGTTCAGCCAAGGTATAGATGGCAAATGTTTCAGAATTTTGAAATCCATGTACAGTGGTATAAAATCGTGTGTAAAGGTACATAGCATTGAATCAGATTTTTTCCCTTGCCTTGTAGGAGTTAGACAAGGAGAAAACTCATCACCTGTTCTATTTTCTTTGTTTCTAAATGACTTAGAAACATTTTTAATGTCCAAAGACTGTCCAGGTCTGTTAATTAACTCAGAAATAACACATTCCATGCTGGATTTATCTATTAAATTGTTTGCTCTTTTATATGCCAATGACACTGTCCTTCTCGCTTCCTCAAAAACGAATCTCCAAAAAGCTATCAAGCATTTTGAATCATACTGCAAAATTTGGAAATTAACTATCAATATTGATTAAACTAAAATACTAATATTAGGTGGTTATAAAAATGATATGAGTAAAGATATTTATCTCCATGGTGTTCCTTTAGAATATGTCACTGAATACAAATATCTTGGTGTTATATTTGATAAAAAGTGTTCTTTTAAAGTATGTACATATTTGTTTCATGAGAAAATTATTACCTGTTAAAAAGAGTACCCCTCTATGCATTCTTTACGGTGAACTAGGTAGAGTTCCGTTATCTGTTGATGCTAAAACCCGTATGTTAACCTTTTGGTCGAAATTACTTACAGATAAATCCAGCAAAATATCTTCAATCATTTACTCTATTGTATATAACATCCATAATACAGGTGTTTACAACTATGACTGGATTTCATGTATTCAAAATGTTCTAAACAATATTGGTTTAAGTTATGTATGGTTGTCACAGTCTCCTGTTTCATCTTCCTGGCTCAAAGCAACAGCTCACTCTATTTTAACTGATCATGCTAAACAAACCTTGAGCTCTGAGGTGGAAAATTCCAAAAAAAGTGTAGTCTATTCTCTCTTGAAACCACAATTTGAATTATAAAAGTATCTGACGTCCCTACCCCTAAATAAAGCTATCCCTCTACTTTTATTTCGTACTTCATGCCACCACTTACCAATTGAAAAAGGAAGATGGAATGGGATACCTGTTTGTGAAAGAAAATGTGAACTGTGTTTTATTGATGATATTGGAGATGAATTATGTCTCCCCTAGAATGGAGGGAGACATATTGTTTTTGGCACGGTTCCCGTCGGCGTCGTCGTCGGGGTCGGCGTTCCCACCGTTTCCGGACCATAACTCAGAAACCGTTTAATATTTTTTCGCGAAACTTTGTATACACATTTACCCAGCACTGAAGTGGTGCCTTTTGCTATTTAGAGATTTTTGACATTTTTATTTTTTCTCGTTTCCATGGAGATAACTTGAACATAGACTCTGAATGGGGGTAAGCTTGGTTTCCGGACCATAACTCGGAAACCGTTTAATATTTTTTCGCGAAACTTTGTATACACATTAACACAGCACTGAAGTGGTGCCTTTTGCTATTTAGAGATTTTTGACATTTTTATTTTTTCTCGTTTCCATGGAGATAAGATGAACATAGGCTCTGAATGGGGGTAAGCTTTGTTTTCTGACCATAACTCAGAAACCGTTTAATATTTTTTCGCGAAACTTTGTATACACATTAACCCAGCACTGAAGTGGTGCCTTTTGCTATTTGGAGATTTTTGACATTTTTATTTTTTTCTCGTTTCCATGGAGATAAGTTGAACATAGGCTCTGAATGGGGGTAAGCTCTGTTTCCTGACCATAACTCAGAAACCGTTTAATATTTTTTCGCGAAACTTTGTATACACATTAGCCCAGCACTGAAGTGATGCCTTTTGCTATTTAGAGATTTTTGACATTTTTATTTTTTCTCGTTTCCATGGGGATAACTTGAACATAGACTCTGAATGGGGGTAAGCTTGGTTTCCGGACCATAACTCAGAAACCGTTTAATATTTTTTCGCGAAACGTTGAATACACATTAACCCAGCACTGAAGTGGTGCCTTTTGCCATTTAGAGATTTTTTACATTTTTATTTTTTCTCGTTTCCATGGAGATAACTTGAACATAGGCTCTGAATGGTGGTAGGCTTTGTTTCCTGACCATAACTCAGAAACCGTTTAATATTTTTTCGCGAAACTTTGTATACACATTAGCCCAGCACTGAAGTGATGCCTTTTGCTATTTAGAGATTTTTGACATTTTTATTTTTTCTCGTTTCCATGGAGATAACTTGAACATAGGCTCTGAATGGGGGTAGGCTTTGTTTCCTGACCATAACTCAGAAACCGTTTAATATTTTTTCGCGAAACTTTGTATACACATTAACCAAGCACTGAAGTGGTGCCTTTTGCTATTTAGAGATTTTTGACATTTTTATTTTTTCTCGTTTCCATGGAGATAACTTGAACATAGACTCTGAATGGGGGTAAGCTTGGTTTCCGGACCATAACTCGGAAACCGTTTAATATTTTTTCGCGAAACTTTGTATACACATTAACCCAGCACTGAAGTGGTGCCTTTTGCTATTTAGAGATTTTTGACATTTTTATTTTTTCTCGTTTCCATGGAGATAACTTGAACATAGACTCTGAATGGGGGTAAGCTTGGTTTCCGGACCATAACTCAGAAACCGTTTAATATTTTTTCGCGAAACTTTGTATACACATTAACCCAGCACTGAAGTGGTGCCCATTAGTTGTTTGAAATTTCTAGGAGTTCTATTTTTGTCTCTGTTATTTAGTAATGGAGGGTGGGAATGAAGAGATGGGGTTTAACGTGAAGTAAACGAATGAATGGGGGTTAGGGGAGTGGGGGGGGGGGGGGGGAGACATATGTTTTTACGAGTAAAAACACTTTCTAGTTTCACTATATTTTTAAATGTCCATATTTTACTGAAGAAAGAATTTTGTATATCCCACCTACATATTCTAAAAGACCTAATATGATTAAATTTCAAAGACTTTTCACTTGTAAAGAGATATCTGTATTAAAAAACCTTAGTAAATTCTGTAAATATGTAATGCAAATTGTAAAATCTTCCGGCTAACCACATATCCGCTATTATAATGTGTATTTTGCTGTCATTTTGTACCTCATATGCCGAGGATCTCGGCCTGAGCGTAATACAGTTCTGTTCTGTAAAATAACCAGCTCAAGCAGAACATTATTGACTTGATGAATGATCAACTACAAGAATAAGGATAAGTTGCAACAAGACATCACCTTCTCCTCAGTGCTAAATGGCATGAGCTGATCTCGAGATCTAAAGGTAGTCAATGAAAGCTGCTGAATTATGTCTTAGTGATACCCAGTCATTAGCCTGCCACCAACAGGAGACACTATTTCTGTGACAACAGGCGACTGCACACCCCAATTGTCCAGAACTGTTAACAAGTCATGTATGATTAAATAAGTTTCTGCTCAGCCTCTTTCTGGTCTGGTGAACTACATAGCCCTCGTTGTCACATTCCGGACTCCAAAGCGCTCTTTTTTTCCATGGAGGGTCATGGTGCCAAGTCAACAGGCAGGAAACAGGGCCTATCAGCTAGGTTGTCGTCATGACCACAAATAATCAGGGTTAAAAACTGTGGTGATTGGAGAACAACATGACGCTTAATCCCAGTCTGGCGTCCATTGAATCCCCAGGATTTAACTGTGTGTCAGAAGGTGCCAGTCCAAAGGAGAACGCCAGTTCTAAGAGAAGCGACCCTTCTTGATGGAACGCTGCCAAACAGCAATGTAGTCGTCATGGTTGTCTCTACCCTGGACACTGCAGTCCAGGTAGAAGATGTCATAATAGTGGAGTTCATAGCGTTAGATGCTATTTCTCGCCTACCTTTCTCCCTCATCAACGCCTGCTGAGTAGTCCTGATATTCCATAGATAGTCATCCGGCTTGCTCGTAAAATACAATTTATTACATTCCGTGCATAGGGAATTGAACTCAGAGCCAGATTCCCTCCGTTCAGGACAGAGGGGAAATCTTCTTGACTTGCCCGAGCGACAAGAAAAGCAAATCGCTGCATACACAGGAGAAGTACACACGTCCTCGTGGATACTGGTCTCTTCCTCTCGAAAATTCAAACGATCTGCCGTGCTGTTAACATTAAATGTATGTTTATATGCACCAAGAAACATCATACAATAAATAAAGCTAGTCGTCACCGCGGCAGCTGTGATGAAACAACAAGATAGAGACAGAACGATTTTGGTGGAAAAAAAACAAACTGTGTGCAGCCAAATTTAACATGTGGCAAGTATGTCATGTAGTAACCTACTAGGAAGGTAATTGTGAAGTTCCCTTCATCAAGAACGCATTATGAGACCGATGTTGAAGGAAATAATTCCCAAAACGCCAGCACATGAGTATCCTCTTGTGCCATGAGAAGGAAAGTCAAGGGCAGATAACTCTCCATACGGCTTCAATGTCTGCTGTTTTAGAATATTTTCGTAATGAAGGTTCATCATTTCATGATATATGTTTATCTTAATTTGGAGACCTTTTACATATTGTAAGTTGTTGATTAGACTGTGTAAGCTGCGGTAGCCTGTGGCAGAGTTTCTAGGTTTATCGCAGGAGAGTAAACTTTTGGGCTCTGTGATATACAGGGGAAGAAGAAAATTGCAATATGTTGTGTCATGATAAGAAATACTTGTATATGTGTGTTTCATTAACGTTTGAATGTGGCGCAGATATCTGCATATACACAACTTTGATTGTTGGTAATGGTCAAATTTATTTCTGATGTCACGAATTCTTTGTGTAAAGAGTTGATACAGACACACTCTGAATTAATACCTTGAGGGATGTAGTAATTCCTGATATCGAAGACACTGTTTCCAATCTGCTTCAGGCTCGGTCGAAAAAAGTCATTGGATTCCAAAGTGAAGTTACCCTCATCCTCTTTCACGATTTGTTTCTTGAAAACAGAAGGAATCATGGTATGTAATGAGAGTCACCTTGCAAATTGCCCTTACCAATCTGAGTTAGTCATAGTGTAGATTTGGCTAAATGTGTTAGATGGACCTTAAATAAAAAAATGATAAGATGTGTCTTGAACAAACTGATTCAGACATAAACTCTACTTACAGGGTAGATTTCTTAAAAATTTATTAGATTTTATGGTGACACTGGAGTAAATAATAAGCAATAAGAGGCATGCTGGTTGTGGGATACAATATCGGCCCTTGTTTGCCTGGTCTAAGCCCGCCTAATGTAACCACCCAAATATAGATTAACATATATAAATGTTTCCTTAAAGGGCAAGTAAACTGAACAAAAAATATCAAATTCAATTTTTGTTGCGAATATCATTTTTCCTACATGTACAAGTACATATAATCTTTTTCCTAGAGAGAAAATTCATGAATTCATAGAAAGTATAAATGTCAACGTGGAAGTGCTGAAATCACACCCTCCGTAATCCACTTCCAAAACAAACCCATTTGAGGGCGTGACCTTAAGCTACCAGCGCAGAGGTGCGTTACAAATGTTTACATTCGCTGATATGTGGCTCATTTGAATGTTTAGAACACAATATGATAATTATGCATTGAACGTCTGCTGTAAACCTCCACAACTGTGCCTTACTGTGCCAGCATGCCCATAAGATCAAGGTTGGTACTTGATTTAGAACTAAAGTAATTTAGTTTTGCTGCGGTACTGTGGGGTCATTGGAATGAAAGCGTCAACATCGCTTTCATATCAGTACAATTCTGGGAATCCAAGTTAGGAATTCGTATCGAGGGAACATCCTTTACTTGTTAATCAGAATACTCTAAACATAAAATATCAACAATATATACTTAAAATATTTATGCAGGCTACTGTCATTAAGTTTGCAAAAACTGTAAACATGTCGGCATAGTGACCATAAACGTGACATCATATGAGATTTTTTTACAACAACTAAAACACTTGGCCACCTTCTCAATTAACCAACGTTTGTAGAACATGCAATACATACCAACAACTTCCACATTTTTTCGTGACAGTACTGTTTATGCTGTGGACTAAAAGAAAGATATATCAGTCAGTTGTTCTGTACGAAGTTAATCATACATTGTGGCTGTTTTTCAGGACAACATATCAGTCGATTATGCTCATGGAATTTCAAATTCAGGTTATCTCTTCAGACATGTATTTATAATTTACTAACACAAAGATGTAAATAAAGATATAGAATCATGTATTTGATGTCACTTTGAGTTACACGTAAACATAATTCCCACAGAGTTTACCCATTTTGCCCATCGGACATCAACATATTGACCCCGAAATTGAGCCTATGGTACTTGACACTAAAGTTCCATAAACTAGAGCATTAAGCATCTTTATTTTCATTAGAAAACTCATATCACTTGTCTTGATGTAAATACAAATGTAAACTTTCAACTGATGTCTTGAAGGAAAGGGTCACCCCATTTGGGCGGGGATATTAAATGTGTTTCAGCTCAATCCATCAAGCTGTTCCCGAGATTGAAGATGAGTGAGATTGGTTTTACGCAACTTTCAGCCATATTACATCACATTATGGCGGGGAACACCCCAAATGTGCTTCATACTGTATACCAATGTGGATATCCGAATCTTATAAATGTCATAAATGTCTCACACCCACCCAACAGCGAGTCGTGTTTTCCTGGCGAGTTAAGCTTTTACATTTCTAAGGAAGAATATTGGATATTCTTGGTTATGGAACGTAAGTGTATTGTACCAAGGGATGAAGTTGTATAACCCCATGCGCAAGATTAGGAAGTATCATGGCAAAATGGGAAAGACCCATTTGAATTTACATACCCGTGTTTGTGCAAATACTACGATTTGTAATTTGTTATTTGTTATTTGTTTATTTGAATTTCAAAGCTCTTGTGATTTCCAATGGTCTATGTTTAAGTTTACAACATATATCCTGGGTGTGTGACATTGAGGACCAATTGTCCATCTTTGTTTAGTTCATCCATAAAAAAAACTTGTCACAGTGGGAAGAGTTTCTGGACGAAATGCTTTCCAGAATTAAAACGGGTCACATATCAATACAGATCTTTGAACGAAAATTAGTTTATCAGTGAGTATTAGAATATTAATGTGGCAGCCTCATGCATTAAGTCCATTCATTGTTAGGTGTATCCAACTAAAACCGTAGCTGGGATAGAGCTATCAGGAAGTTGACTATTTCTTGTATACAGATATTGATAGACATGTACTTACCTTCGTTGTTGTTTCCTGTGCATGTGTGTGTTGATTTATCCTAGGCATTAGTTCTAGTAAATGCACAGAACCATTCCTTGACATTCATTCTCGTGACATCGTCGGTATTTGCATCATACCTGTAAGCCAATGGTCCCTGTTTATCATAGAACACTATTCCTGTCACTGACCTCACGGATACTTGAACAACCGCCTCTTTTGCATCTGCAGTTTCTCCCTCACCAGTGAGTCTCAGAGTGTTCTTGTCCAGGTTCGTTCTTGAAGGGATTAACCGTACCTGTGCTACATCAGCATCAGTTGATGCCCCACCATCATAGTCACAAACAAGAGTATTCTCCTGTATCCTTTGTGCTAGTGTATCCTTGAAATTGTTTTCATCAGTGATGGTTACTGGCTGTGGAATCGGTTCCTTAGAATCATAACCACAATTACCATGGGTCACCTTCTTCTCGTGTATGCCATACAAAAAAGAACCCCCTCCTTCAAGTTTGGAAAACGCACTTACATACTCCGTGAGACGAAGTTTGTAAGAGATGCAATCAACTACTTCATCTTCTTTGACTTTCTGTGAGAAGTGACTTTTGAATTGGACTGATCTACTTTCTTGTAAGTTTGCTAAGTCAGAAGTAGAGGCAACTCCAGGAAGTGCATGGAATGTCTTGTTGTACACTTTTCTTTCCTTCAGAAATGATCGGACTGATTCAGCAGTAGGGTCTAGGATGCAGTCATCAAGAGCAACCTTGGTTTTAAAGTCGGAGGTTGTCACAGTTGAAGCTGCAGACACGAACAGAACTAGAAAATCATGGAATTCACAACATTCTTCAAGATTGCTTAATCTTTGTTTTCTATAAACATCATCGAATAATTTTCCATCGTGAATCAACGAATTTAATTTGGTATCTGCAAACTCATTAAATGCACCAGTGAACTGATCTTCTTTTGCTAAACCAACGAGATGAATCAATATGGACCCAGAGTTTGAGTTGCGCAAAGCTGAAACTTTATTTAACAACTCATTAGCTTTTTGTTCTCGCTTCTTTCTTTTCTTTTTAGTGTCTGTTTCTTGCTTTGAACCATATAGGTAGCTCACATGAATTCCCATGGACAGGACGTGGCCATCATAAGAAGCATATTTCAAGAACTCAGCAACTGCTTGTTCACGTCTTGGTATATATTCACTGAAAGATGAATAAAGTTTTACCATGGATACCCCAGCAGTAAAGAGATATAAAGCAAATATTATCTTAATTTAAGCCTCACCCTTAGAAAAATATTCCCTAAACTATGGTTGGGATAATATTGTTGAGCAATGTGTACAGTCTGTGTGAATATCAGCGAGAGCCTTGCAAAAACCATTAAAAGATGTAACATTAGGGGCTCAAACAAGGACTGGTCAGTTCACAGTCAGTATGGAGACGTCGCGTTCCTCATAATAAAGTAGTTGACATCCATAAATTCTCTCTCTTATGTGTATCACCTCTAAATGACATTCAAAAACCTAATAATTGATGCAAGTAGGCATGATTTGCTCATATTGCTTCAACTATTAGCTTATGAATTATGAACATTTGGACATGAACATATATTTGAACACATCACCTTCACAATAATGATAATCCTTTCAATGAAGAGCTGTGAAATCAGAAGGTGTAACAGTGTAATTTAACATCATGTCTTTTAATGGGCACTGATTACAGATGACAAGAATTGAAAATTCAAAAACAGAATTTTCAAATAATACTGTATTAACAAATGTTATGAATGCATGTGCGATGATTTCATACAATTTACATGTCATGGGTTCGGTTAATGTTTAGAAGCCTGTATATGTCTGTTTGGATACTAACCATTATTCTAGATGCTCAGGTTCTCTTAAGAGCCAACCTTTTTGCTAACAAGGTACAAAGTACACGTTTCAAGATTCAAGAAGCACTTATTTCTTATATAACAAACCCATCAACTGTAGTACATTGGCAATAGTATAAATGACCAAAAAAATACATACACCGTCGAGGTAACAGTTATAAATGTTCTAAATTATCTAATTTTAGTTTAGTTTTATAATTATTAAGCAATTTTGCTTTTCAGATTATTCCGATTTTGACGTTAAATATTTCTTTAGTGCGGGTATATTCGATCATTGGTATATTCAATGACATTTGGTGGTGAAGTGCTTCACATATAATTACAGAGTGGAACTCATATCCATCAGGCCGTCATTGTCTGGTCGCAATGGGAAACATGTGGTAGAACTTTAAAACTGGCAAATACTTGTACATGTAATGTCGGTAGTAATAGATACAAGATACATACACAATATGTGACATGTTTCACTTTGTGTAATCGTCTCTCAAAATAAGGGACATGCATTGTTGTTCTTGCTATCAATCACTTGTAATCAGTTATCTACAGGTTCCTTCGGTACTAAATAGCATGCACTCACCAACTCCCAAAACATCAAGACATGACTAGGCAAAATGAATTCATGTACTATTTTGCTAACATTTTACATTTTAACAATCAAACTGTATGCCGGTGAATGAAACTATAACTCTCACCATCATATTTCGATATAATTCTATTAATCTAAATAGCAATTATGAACAAGTAACAACTTAACGTAACAAACTTTTCCAATTATAAGCACGTGTAATATGAGCCTGTTCAATTTAATATCTGTGAGCTGTTTTTTATGTACTGGACTTCGGTGCTACTTACCCATATCATATTGTCATATGTTTTGTACAAAAAAAGAGGTGGACATGAGTTTTAATCGTAAAAAAATCCAATTATCCTATATCTTTGCTCGGATCTGAGGAGAGATTGTGGTGTGAGTACATTCCATTTTCATGCTCTGTGCTGGCCCTTACACTGGACCATGGCACGTTGTGACTGCTGATAATTTATGACCACCAGATGAATCTGGCAGACGACGCATCTTCAATTTAAGAAAATGAAATGAAAAGATTACCACAAATACATCTACTCGTGTTTTCATAATATATCTATCAAAGTTGAATACATAACATAAAGATTTCAAATTGCATCAAACCTAATTAATTTTACGAAATATTGTAAATTTTCTAATAAATTGTATATTTATATACTTATCCTATCTCACACTATGCATTTCCTCTAATTCTTCGATCTTGGTGTGGAAACGTTCTAGAACAAAGTTTCCAGCTTCAAAAACATCACTCACCCAAACACATCACCACTATGATCATGGTTCACACACCACTAAAATCCCGTGCAACACGACCCCATTGATCTGATCACCTGACATATCCAGCACCCTCATTCTCAATCTAGAGCATACAGGCTGGTGTAACTGTGATGCGGGGATGGTTGGGTCGGCATTTTGCGTGTGAGATAGGATAAGTATATAAATAAAATTTGTATACAATTTATTAGAAAATTTACAAATTTTTAAACTTATCCTATCTCACACTATGCATTTATCCCACGGTTGGATGGTAGGTCGCAGATACCCTAGCCTGTAAGGACTTCAACCGTGAGACGTACACGAGGAAGCTGGAACTAATCAAGAAAATTCAAAGGATTTTATGAGGATTAGTGATAAACTCGTGTGAGGGTTGCTTCAAAAAACCCTCTTTGTGCTACCAAGATATATACATCATGACATCGGGGAATCATGTGGTCCTTGGTTTCACACAGGACACCCTTCACAGAATCACCGCGTAGCCCTGAGCCAGGCGACACCTACTCGGTCACCCCTGATAGGAGGAGGTGTTTTGTCCCCGGCGCAGGCATCTCTTTTATCGCTTTGGCAACCTATCAAACTCACGTAGAGATTGAATAAGGTACGAACGAGAAGAGGAACGATTGACGATACCCGTTTATCACAAAGGACTTCAATCAACTACTGAGACATCACATGCACAAAGACAGAGGTGAGCACCATTTAAACAAATGACCCCACCGGATGGTGGCCTCTATTGACGTAGACCAAAGTCCCAACAGACAAACATATATATACCCTCCCTCTGGGAGCTTGTCTGGGAAATCCGATTAACAAGCAATAAATGAAAATATTGCAGTATATACAGGAAACCAGACTTAGGACTTGTAGTGTGGCTGCTGTGACCTTGGACGTCGGCGACTGAGATTCCGAAAGGAGTAGGAGGCAAAGACCATATCAGAACGCCAGAACATCCCTCCATGATGGCTGAAGTGTGCAATACTATGCAACTCCAAGGTGGAGATCACTGCCCTCATCTCATGAGGTTTGGGTTGGTAGTCCCTCAAAGGTGTAGACCCCAATGATAGTAGAACGCAGCCAGTGGAGGTGGTTTCACACAGGACACCCTTCACAGAATGACCGCGTAGCCTTGAGCCAGGTGACACCTACTCGGTCACCCCTGATAGGAGGAGGTGTTTTGTCCCCGGCGCAGGCATCTCTTTTATCGCTTTGGCAACCTATCAAACTCACGTAGAGATTGAATAAGGTACGAACGAGAAGAGGAACGATTGACGATACCCGTTTATCACAAAGGACTTCAATCAACTACTGAGACATCACATGCACAAAGACAGAGGTGAGCACCATTTAGGAGGTGAGTAGGAGGCAAAGACCATATCAGAACGCCAGAACATCACTCCATGATGGCTGAAGTGTGCAAAACTATGCAACTCCAAGATGGAAATCACTGCCCTCATCTCATGAGGTTTGGGGCGGTAGTCCCTCAAAGGTGTAGACCCCAATGATAGTAGAATGCAGCCAGTGGAGGTGGTGGTTCAAGACACATCAGAAGTTGCAGCCGTTGACAAATGGATGAAAACATGCTTGCAACAACGCCGGATGGTCTGAGATGCCTTCAAGTAGAACTTGAAGGCTCAGGCTAGAGGCGTCTTTATGACATCAGCTCTCAATCAATCGGAGTGGTGGAGGCTGAAAAGACGATCCGGTTTTCGGGTTCGAGGTTTTATCCACAAGTGGTTTATAGTCAGTCAGGAGAAGTGACAGAGGAAAACAGGGAGATCCCATGCTGGAGGGCCAAGTCTGGAGATTGGTCCATAAGGTGGTATGAGCAAATCAATGTCCGAATGCCTTGTACTTCTTAAGTGACATAGGTAATCTTGTGGTATAATAGCTTGGCTGCAGAAAACCCTGGATCTTGCAAACTGGTGAAAACTTTCCATTTATCGTCACCTAGATTCTCAGGAAATCTAAGGAAATCCTCTTACGAGACTGCTCTTGATATACTCCATACGTGAAGTTCGTATAATTCTGGTCGTGGATGGACCTGATTGGAGGGAGGATATAGCAGTAGATGTGACCAGTTTGGAAGACTTAGCAGTGGAATCCCTGCCAGTTCGACGATCTCTGGAACCCAATTTCTTGTCGGTCAGAAGGCGCTACCTACAGCAGTTGTAGGCAGCTTGTGTGTATGATCTTTGGTGGGGGAAACGCAAGGCGTTTAGGTCCTCCCATGATATTGTCAGAGCATTGAATGACCAGGTTTGAATAGTGTGTGTGTGTGTGTGGGGTGTGTGTGTGTGGGGGGGGGGGGGGGGGGGGGGGGAGGTGGGTGTCTCGAGCTTCATAACATTGTAATGGTGATTTCTCATAGAAGAGTATCTTTAGACAATTCATGGTTGGCAGGCACGTGGGTCGGATCCATGAAAATCCTGGTAGAGAAAAAAACATCAGTGTCTCAAGCTCGCAATACGAAGTGACTATGCCTGTAAGGGGCCAACGAGACCAGTGGGCCAAGTTCGCTGATATGGTTGGTGCAGGCCATCGTATCCAAAGATGTCTAATCAAGAAAATGGAATGCAGTGAAGGCCTTGTCCGATGCACGATGAGAGAGAGGTCTATTGATTCCTTGGAAGAAGAATGATCTTATGACTGAGGACGATCCATCGTTCGTCTGTTTGATATAACAAAGGTTATATTTGGGATAACATCTTCTCAGTAAAGAACATGCTCGTACTTTATGGGGTTGAGTCCTGTCCGGGATTCAAACCAACACTGCCAGACTAAGGGACCTAATCGCCATCACATAAAGGCAGCGATCTTACTCATGCAGCCACCGAGGCTTCCTGCAGGAAAAGTCATACTAGCGGACAAGTATTTGATCAGACGATGTGTTGATGTATCGATTTATGTATGTATCGATGTATCGATGTGTTGATGCATCGATGTGTATCATAG